TGTAAGAGCAAATGCTAGCCGATATTTGGCTTGTAGACATGGGTCGTGGGTGTCAGTTTCCCACTGATCTATGGAGATGTCATTGAGTCACGACCCGTCAGCTGACTATGCATAATCTAATAAGAAGAGCACTTCAGCAGCAGTCTCGATGAGGTCATACTCACTTGTGTTCAATTACAGCAGCCCTGTTAACAAACTGCAGTTGAGTATATGGAGCGAGAGGAGTTAATGGGGCTGTGGATTAAGACAGTTTCTAGTACATTTTACTCTGGATCATCTAGTTCAAGCACAAACTTGAGTACATCTTCAAGTAGAAACTGCAGACAGACAGACAGACAGACAGACAGACAGACACACACACACACACACGCGCGCACACACACACGCACACACACACAACTCTGTGGTTCTTGACCACTAATTACATTAGCAGTGAGCGTCTGAGTGCATGTCTCTGAATGTTAATTCGATCTAGCACCAGTGGAGGCACTAATAGCTTTTATGTTGCTGATTAGCAAATAGGAGGATATCTGAGTGACTGCACTTCCTCACAGTCAATCATAAAGCATCCTTATACCAGACATTAACTCTCTTTGTGGTGCTTATGTTCGGGTCACTGTTGGCCGCAAATAAAACTTCCATAAACTCAGTCATGTCCTGAAAATGGGAGATATGTACATGTTCAGTGAAAAGAAAGGCAATTTGAAATATTTTAATGGCGTCACCTTGGGCATTATAGGAACAAATAAATGCAATAACAAGAACTTATATCCTGGAAACAAATATTCATAGGAGTGGAATATTTGATGCACCATATTTCGCTATAAGGAGTTTTGTCAGTTGAAAGTATGGTAATGTGGACAGTCCCTTAGCTTCCTCGAGAGAAACTGTAAAAACTGTAGAAACTACAAAACTATTGTACGGAGCAATAGAGTCAAGTGATGTCAACAGCATACAGTGAGCACATATCAGCCAAAAACCTTGGTAAACAGTAAAAAAAAACAAACAAAAAAAAACAATTATTAATGAGTTTGATAGTCAAAGACTATGTTCAAACAACAAATAATGGAACATTAAGAGGTCTCTATGCATTTTCAGCATATGCAAAAAGATCTTCTACTGTACTCTTGTAAAGTGGATTTCTCTGTCTCTACCTGCAAAATGGTAGCAAAAAAAGAGAAACTTTTCAAACAAAAAGCAATGGTTTGGTGAAATGCAACCATTTAATTCTCATATTTGCTTCACAAAAACACTGGAAAAAGGACTGTGGACTTGGAGAATAAAGTTTCTAGTAATAAGAAAAAAAGTTTTTCTTTTGGCTACATATGGAGTCGCTCTTCAAAGCAACTTCCCTGTGGAAATGAACAACTGCTAATAAAGTAAATACTACTAAACTTCAGCGTCTCACAAATGTGTCTCTACATTTAATACGCAATTGCATACAGTAGCTCTTTCCAGGAAACTTCCCGGAAAATATTAGACAGTGATGGAGCCATTAAATAGTACCTTACCAAAATAACCTGGTCACAATGTGATACATAGGACAGTTTAGCATCCAAACAGAACAGATGCTAAGTTAATTGATGGTCATCAAGTATACAACATATCTAGGAAAAAACACTGGAGGCAACAGGATGTTTCCAATTTTGGTCTTGGGCTGCTCCTTGATGTTACAATTATAGTATATTCATTAATCACTGAGGTTTGGATCAACTGTAAGGAAAACATTAAATGTTATTGTTGCTGATATCGAAGCAAGCAGCAAAAATGCTAAAAACAAATCATCATGACAACTGAGATGTGATTTGTATAATTAAATCTGGTAATAACATAATGTTCTCAAAGAGTTTGTGAGTGATGAGTCAATCAGAGTAAGAGATAGTGGTACTAATTCATAAAACCTTCCTCCATTAAACACACACATGCACTCAACAAAGTCTCTTGGTGGCCATCAAATTATACTGGGCTTATTTTCCTGTCAGCTTCCACATCATTGCACCTGCTCCTCCTTCTCTCACCAGCTTGTTTAACTAACACTGCTATACAATTTGGCCTACACAGCAATGTTTACACTTTGGTTTGTAACACTGGGGGAAAATGGGATTAAAAAAAACTGAGCCTGACTCTACTTTCTGACATCTGTTTTACTATACAGACGAATACTATTCCATAGAAACAGGAAGTTATGCAGGCATTTATTTTTAGCAGCAACTACAAAATGGAGATGAAAAGCAAAACTCAGTATGCATACTATGTGTGTCTAGTTACTGCAGTGAGTTTCTGTATTGCTCCAAGCAGCAGTTTCTGTGCTCTGGTTTGGTAATCTGTGAGCTTTCGGTCTCATCATCACACTCAGTCCAGCATCTGTCACAGAAAGAAGCTAACAACATGACTTCAGTCATATATTCTTCATCTCAGACATCTCTCTCTACTAGTGACTTTCAGGAGAAAGAAAAATCTTGTGTTTTGGTGAGTCTTACCAGCAGCAAAGAGGTCTGCTCAAAACAATCACTGTATTCATGGCAATGAAGGAAATGTCACCCAATGCAGTCAGTGTTAATGGTACAATAGTCTTTGGACAACAGTGGAGGTCTGTAGCCTACGGGAATAACATATGGAAGTAAATCAATGGATTGTTGGCTTTGGTGTTTATGGCATTTGTAGACAGTAAGGAAATGTAAAATTGGCAGCCAGTCATAATTATGACTAAGCCTATATTTAGTATAGGCTTGAATTAGCTGAATTAAATAACAGCTTCAGTTGGTTAGGCTCATTTAAGCCAGGCTTTTCACATTAATCCTTACTTTTCGAGGCTTTATTTGCAAAATATGCTTCGGTCTGAAAACAGGGGTTGAAACAAGACCTGTAGAAAGCAGCTTTAGCTGAAATCAGGCTACAGTAATTTATAGCACTGACTATTGTGAACTGCATTTCAGGTTGATTCTGCTGGCAGTCAGGCAGGAAATGAAGGTGAAATGAAAAAATTTAAACACTGAGAAATGACTGAGATAATTAAAGCACCAGTATTTTAGGTTGCATTCACCCAACACTACACCATACCAAAAAAAAAAAAAAAGAAAATACCAATATATTTCTGATGACTTATTACAATCATTGTATTTATGCTAAATAGTTCAGTGCAGCCTCTATTACATGACTGCACAGGAACAAAGCCACACTAGGCTTATCAACAGATTAGAAATCACAGCTCAAGACTCTTACCAATAGGTAACAAAGTCAGCAGGAGCCAAGGAACACCTCGCTGTGCTCTCTTAGAATAATCCGAAATTATTCATGTGCACGGCTGCCGTCAGCAGGAGAAATACATATGTAAAACACTTGTGTAAGTCCTCAGTGTAAAGGCACACGCTGTTACCTGACAGAAGAAGTCTGAACTGTCACCTAACTGCATGATGGAACATCCTAACACCCTCACACACACACACACAAAATATTATGGTGAGTATACATGTATATGATGGATGATAGCTATCAGTGTTGAATTGAAAATTGAAACATTTCTCCTAAACTGCACAAAGGTTCATGATATTAGAATTTTGAATGAGCACCACTTTTTGTGTCTAATAAACCACACTGTTATAAATAAACTGTAAAAACTGCAAAAAAAAATGATGACCATATTTACTCAATAAAAATGGCTAAAGGAATTTAAATTATTCTTTTTTTTTTTTTTTAGTTGAACATATTTTGATAATTCAATAACTTTTAAAACAATTTTGGCAGGACATTAAGTTCATATATATTGAGTACAATTTCATTACAGTATATTCTGAAGGAAAGGAGAAAGGAAACTGAAGGATTTTAATCATTGAAAAGTGGTTGGTTTTAATCAACTTGCATTTGTCTGATGCACGTTGCACCATGCAAAGGGCAACAGCATGTTTTCTTCAAAGATATTGCACAGTCATTATATTCGGATCCTTCATGGAGTTGAATATTGTTGCAGGTCCGTAACGGTAGCTTGTAGACTGAGAGTAGGGTTAACACTTGCTATGTTCTGTTTGGCTTTATGTTAACCAGTTAACTTTACTGCCATCTGCCATTATTGAAATACTTTAGACCTCCATCCATCCATTATCTATACACCGCTTAATCCTCACTAGGGTCGCGGGGGGCTGGAGTCTATCCCAGCCGACTTAGGGTGAAGGCAGGGGACACCCTGGACAGGTCACCAGTCTATCACAGGGCTACACTTAGAGACAGACAACCAAGCACACTCACATTCACACCTTTACAATTTAGAATCACCAATTAACCTCAACTGGACTGTGGGAGGAAGCTGGAGAACCCAGGGAGAACCCACAACCCACGCTGCACAGGGAGAACATGCAAAGATCCCGGTGCCCCCACCAGGACGCGAACAGGCAACGTTCCTGTTGCGAGGCAACAGTGCTAACCACTGCACCACCTTGCAGCCCTACTTTAGACCTGTCCAATAAAATAACGTGTAATCTTAGGTAANCCACCTTGCAGCCCTACTTTAGACCTGTCCAATAAAATAACGTGTAATCTTAGGTAACTTGTGGTGGCCAGAAGCTCTATTGTGTTTGATTTGACCTAATTATTCGGTATACAGTATCAATTTGTAACAGAAGCCATTTTGAATACTCTAGTTCTGATATAGGAATAACACTATAATGCATGGATAAGCAAGTGTACAGGTGTTCATAATAATGGTTTGGTGTTGATAAGCCATGAGCAGTTAAACCAAATAGCAGTTCTTTCCTCATAAAAAGCTCATTTTTTGAGTTTGCAAACTCACAGATGCACCTTTCCGGCCACCAGCACGCCATGACCCCCTCACTGACAACCACTACTCATTGTTTCAAGGTTAAATGACTGCCTACTTCTAGGTATCTGTTGATGGGAGACTAAAATCTTTTATCTTTGTATGTACAGAGCAACCCTGACCAGCATGTAAGACAAAGTGTTCATTGTACAAAATTTCTTAACAACCAGCATAAATATGAATACGGTACCTTCACATTGTCTGGATGGAGCCCCCCGGGGTGTTTGTCCATGTACTGGCACAGGTCTGTGTGCTGCGAAATGGATGGAAAAATAGCACAATGTTAATAAAAAAGACTTTAAAGATGCAACATGTCCCAACATCATGGTGATTAGGTGTCATTTGTGTTAAATGTGAGCAAATGAATCCGTTGTTGTTGTCTGTTACTGGTGTGTATACTGTTGTCGATATAGACTACGTCTCCCCCTGATGTCAGGAGAAGAAATGTAGTGTATTTTATAGTAGGGTTTACCATCTGAGCTGATGTCCTCACTCTCAGAAAACCTGACTAATATGACATGCATTCAGTGTTGCACTGGTCTGCCCTTCACCCCTGTGCTTTGTGAGCAGATTTGTGGACGGAGGAGGTAGTGGTTCAGAAATCGTACTGATGTCTCCCACTGCGGCCCACACCAGCAGAGCCTTCTCTGCTGAATAATTCACACAATGCCTCAACGTGGACATGCCTGTCCATCTTATTCAAAACCCTGTTCTGTCTCTGTTTCCATCTCTTGGCTTTTTTATTTCCTCCACTATCTCTCTATAATGTGTCATTGTCTTCCCCCATCAGTTTTCTGTCCCTTCGCTCTGTGTGTTTCATGCTCTCCCTGTCACTCATCATTAGCTTTGAGAGAAGAACAATGAACAGATTTTTTCTGGCTGTGTATGTAAAACAGCATAGGGCAATCGCAGCACTGATGACAAGATGATATATCAACATTAAAAACGCACTCCAGCACATTTGCACAGCTGGGAATTTAGCAGTTTAATCAAACACAAAACCACTGGCCAGCAAGTTGAATTAATAAATGAATTAGCGAATAATCTCTCATAGTCAAAGCACCGTGTTGCACAACATGTGATAGGTATGTATATTCAGAGAGGATTCTGTGCAGAAGGTTAACTGATGTCCCTGTTTAAGCTCTAAAGTCAAACTGATCTTTTCTCTCATTCTTTATTCAAACGCAACATGCTGTGCTCTTTTCACATTTTAGAAGCTGAACCTTTGACATGTGTCATATCTACCAATAGGGGGCATTGTGCTGTCTTCAGTCTCATTAAATGCAGCAGAGAAGGAAAGCTGAGTAAGCTGGTTGAGAGATCAGACCTCGCTCAGCACTTCAAGATCAAAGATTGACCTGAATATAAATGTGACCATCAGAAACTGCTGTCAGTTGCTACATGAAAAGGGATAACAGAAGATCCGGACTGTTCTGAACCTTGTAGTTACTCTGTTAACTACTTTTGTCAAAGACTCTGAGGTGAAAACTTAAAAGGGTGGTTTCATTTGCAAAATTCTGTGTTGTTTTTTGTCTCACAAGAAACTGTAGACTAGTTTTCAACATGATGACAGACTACAGATAAAAACAGATACAGACAATAAAAATGTTTTTGTGGGTAGTAATTGATGTTAATTTCCGGGCTTCTGTTCATCACCACGTTGCTACTTATAGGAAGTACGTAACAAATATTCAAAGGTCCAAGGAGTACTTCAACATGAGTTATCTTGTACTAATCATCAACTCAAGGTGAAGGTAATGTGGTGGCAACTGTGTACCAACCACACAATATACACTGGACTTGAGAGCTAAGGGGAACCTGCAGGGCTGAAAGATGAAGCCAACATAGAAGCGCCAAAAACTGCAGGTCCTTAAAGGGCCACTAAAGGCTGGCCTCAACTGGTCAATCCCCATAGACCCCCTATGCTAAAACACAACTTTACAGCAGTACTAAGCATGTTTACAGCCTGGTACAAAACATGGCTTTGGTTTCTATAGCTAATTGTCACATTCCCATCAACTATTAATACAACTCAGCTGTTTAAATTGCATTAAGAAATAAAGTTATGGGTCATTGGGGGCGTGGCCACTTTGTGTGACAGGGAGCTGAGTGACAGGTGGGTGCCTTCAACAGTCAAGAGTTAAGCAGATTCAGGCACTACCAAGATGGTGACAGCCAGCCCACTGGACTTCAAAACCGCTCTTCAGAAAACGTGTGGGTGATGTCCCATAGGGGTTGTTTATCTTTATATAGAGTCAACGCGTGGGAGTTTAAATCTACAATGTATAATAGAATATGGCTATACATAGACATTCTATTTGTGTATTTTAGAAGTCATAAATGCAATGCTACTGAGCATATCAAATTTTGGTTATGAACACTGCTGTGTAATATACTGTCAGTACTTCATGTTCTGACCAAAACAGCTCTGACCTGCCCAGGCATGGACCCTGCAAGATCTCTGACATGGCCTGTTATGTCTGGCACTAAGACATGAGCAGCAAAACTGTTAAGTCCTGTAGGTAGCAAGGTGGAGCGACTGCAGACCAACACACCACGTCCTCACACCACATCTTTGGTTCATGTTTTGCTCTTATTCGGACCTCTGATGGTAGGTACAAAGGACATGCCTATATTATCAAGGTAAGCAGTATTGCTAGGTCACAGTTTTCCTCCATGCCAAAAATATGTCAACATCATTTGATGACATTTGGGTCCACAGTATTCAACAGGGCAGTTGTGGAAACATACTAAAACAGCAACCTTCCAATAAAATGGTCGCCTGTCTTCCTGTTACGGATGCAGACAGACCAGCCTCTGGTGGACCTGGCTGCCATCCTATGGCATGGAGTAAAGAGCGGAAAAAGCTCTGGCTGCTTTAACATTCTTCAAGTGCCCTATAACCAAGAGTATGCCAATCAAAATATCCACAGCTCATGTTTCTGTGTGCAGAGTATTAAAAACTGAAACTCAATCAGTGAGTCTGCACTGAGGTCAAATCAGTCAAACGAAAGAAACACACATGAACGCTGACCTCTGTTCCCCTTTAAAACTGGGCTTCATTTCCTCTTGAATGCTAAAAACAGATTCCAATCTAATTTCGGAACTCTACGGTCAACCCATCAAAGTTCCAATGGGTGATCTCAGTGTGCAGACTCACCACATATTCAAAGACCAGAGTCAGGGTTTCCTTGGTGTGGATGATGTCATGGAGGAGCACAATGTTGGCATGCTTCAGGCCTTTCAGAAGAGATGCTGCAGAAGCAGAAACAGAACAGACAGCACGTTAATACAAAGCACATACTGAGATAAGACCAGGACCTGCTATGATCTATGCTTTCATTAGTTGCATCATTAGACTGTCTCACTGCATACAGGGGATTAAGAAAAGATTAAAACACAAAGAGAAAGTACAGGGTGGATTTACTGCTGGAAATTCTCACACTCATTTGTCAACACATTTATGATGTAAAAGTTATTCTTAATTAGCAGTAAGATGATGTGCTGGGGAGATGATTCAAATGCTCATTACTTTACTGGCAAAGTCTTACTGGGGAGGTTGCAAGGAAATACACAGGTCTTAATTTGAGTCACATCTTAGTACAGTACTGTGAGGATTGTGCAAAATACAAAGGAATACGTGATAAATGAGGTAGATCGCTTACAGTTTGCCGTAGTCAGTTTTCCATTGGAAGATTCACATTAATTAGTTGTTTGTTTGTTTTTTTTTTTTTTAAAAAACAGCAAAATAAAGATTTTTGATTATTTTATTACATGGAAACAAATGAAAGCGTACTTGATTGTAGAATGAACTTCAGGATCAGCTTATTAAAAAAAAACAGAATTCTCAGTAGGTTTCCTCAATAGAATCTCAGCGTATACTTAGTCTCCAGAAAACAGACGACAGTTAAAAGTTTATAGGCACCTCCAGATCACCTTTAGTTGTTACTGTATGCTCACAATAGGTTCTTTGTTACTCTGGGTTTTCACCCTTCAGGTCTACCACCAGAAAGAATTTTTATATTCTCCAATAATAATAATAATAATAATAATAATAATAATAATAATAATAATAATAATAATAATAATTTCTAGGAACACCAAGCTGTGATGAGGTCATGTGTGACCTGAGATGATGAACGTCAAACACTGGAGTTCATCTGAAAAGTCAGTGTGTCAGAAGTGTAACACGACCACGGCTTCTTCTGCATGTTTCTCAGGAATTATACTGACTTACATTTAATGATGTGTAATCAACATATTATCCTATAAAGATGCTGATGTTGAACATCAGTAACAGATATGTGTTTTATTAAAAATGCACTGTACACCATTAGCTATCATTAGCAGTAGCTGTCTATCAGAGCCAGTCTCTGGAATAAAAATGAAGCAGTTCCATATGGAGTCAAAACTGAGCTCTAACCTGTATCTGAGTTTATGATGTCTGCATGTCCATACAGAAAAAATATTACCAGAAATGTGTCAATATTATTTGAAGTACTATGAGTTGGAAAACCATGATTTTTCTTTTAGCCCAGTAATAACATTATAAAACTCTTCCAGTTGGGACACTATTGGAGGGATTTCATCGATCATACCTGATCAGTGAGAGTTCTAATAATGGCTATGAATGTGAAAAAATTCATTTCAATATTTCTTTTTCTCACATAATGCCTCTGACTGTCAACATACTCAATTTTTTAGAGTTCCTATTGTTTCTGGCTTGTGTTATTTTATCAAAGTACATATCAATGAGCCTGCAAAATTTCAGGACTCTAGCTACATTATTTCTCAAGTTATGGCAGTTCAAACCTTGCTACACAGGTGAGAGTGGAAAAAATGACATGAAAATCGACATGACCCCACCTTCTTTAAGAATTATGAACTCAAAAAGTTTTGACTCAAAAACCTGTAACTAAAGACTTTTAGACATGTTGTTCTTACAAACATATGTATGCACAGGAAAAAAATCAGACAAAGGTGTGAACATTTTTAACAATTGGGTGAACTGAGTTGAATGACCTAGTTTACTAATTTAATTCAATTGAAATAGAATTTTCCTAAACAAACTGCTTTAATTAGATTGAACAGCTGGGAGAATACAGATACTGAAGACTTGCCAAATAATAGGCCTAAAAAGATTTAAAATGAAAGCCTTATAACCATTCGTTTTTTTTCAGAGAAATGTTGACTTCACAGCCTCCCTTCCACTTCTGAACTGAAGTTACAATCTTGGTCACCACTGCTTGTTTATATTAGTTTATGTCAGTTTTCTTGGCCCTATATTTACTGTGCAAACAATACACAAGTACGTTATAGGAGACATAAATGGGATTTTCAGATGGTGGCCAATGTGATTAATTTAGGAAACACAACAAAGTTCTTTTCCAAGGGCACAGGGGAGCTTTGACGGACAGATCTTCAGAGAGCCGGCAAGTGATGAAGCCTCATGAATACATTCATCCTGTATGAGTACCTAAAGGTTGTTAAAAAAAATCAGATAAGCAGATCAAAGGCAGGACTCCTCTCAGTAAGCAGGAGGTTAGCGCTACAGTCTGATACCTCAAAGATCCTGTCACCAGTCTGAAGATCCAAACTCCTCCTTCACACGCACACATACACACACACGCACACACACACACGCGCGTGCACACACACACACATGCATGCATGCATGCGTGCACACACAAAACCCATCTCTAGCAACGGCATGCGTGTGTCTAGTTTTAATAACCGGGAGCACACACATTCAGCTGTCCTCTACTCTGGGATATTTTATTCAGCAGTAATGCCGCTCACATATCTGCACTGGGAGCTTCCTGCTCAGTAATTGCTGAATTAGTTCAATTTCAAAGTGCCTTTCTGATCCTCTCACAATGAGAGTTTGGGCAATGTGTGTGTGAAGTCCAAGATGGCTCTCACTTAATCAGGCATGGATCATACAGATCAAACAGACAGCATCATTTTCTCATCGAAATTTAAATACCAGTTGTGCCTGTGGAGGCTAGTGTTTCTTCCTTTGGTCCATCCAGTAAAGTAAAAAGTTTCAAGGGTTTCTCATACACAACTGACAGGATAAACCAAGCCAGGCCTGCACTCTACTGCTGTTATACACTCTAAGGAGCTGCAACATTAAGACCACCTGTCTAATGTACTGTAAGTCCGTCGCATGCTGCCAAAACAGCTCCAAGCCGATGAGGCCAGGATTCTATAAAACTTCTGAAGGTGCCCTTTGAAATCAGGCACCAATATGTCTGCAGCAGATCTTTTAAGTCCTGTAAGCTGTGATTTGGAGCCACTGAGCTTTAGTCACGTTAAGGCACAACACCCTGCCGCTGGTTCACGGTGTGTTCATGTTCATGTTTTTGAGAATAATATATATCCCAGATCTTTTCATGTGCCCTTCTTATGGCACAATTAAGTGGTCTTATTTTCTTGGCTCAACAGTGTATGAACCCAGTAAAAAAATTACATGAAGACCACTGTGGCAGTAGTTCCCAACCTTCCCACTTTGCAGTATCTAGTCCTGTTCAACCAAAGAGAGATGTTTTGGTTTTGTATTTATTTGAATAGTCTTGAAGACTGATTGAGCTGAAGAAAAGACAAGCAAAAGATCAAGAATTTTGTGACCTCTTGTCTGAATCTCAACCCCATGTTGAGAACCATTACACAACATGTCATCTTTAATGGCCTACATGATATGGTCTACATGATCTGTTTATTTCAATCAAATCCTAAGGCAAAGGGCAACGTAAGCAAGTGTAGTATAGAAATTCAAACCCTGAATTGCAGAAACTCTGAGAATAGTCATCCAGCAATCTACAAGAGATCTTGTATCAAATAGTTTAAAAATAAACATATTTTCATAGATGCTGTATTTTTAAAGAGGTAGAAGGAATAAATGTCATTGTAAAAACTTCTAATAAGGCAACTAAACATTTTGAAATGAAAAAGACATCTTATCAGACACAAATGACTATTTGAGGCACTGTATTTTTAGATATCTCCAAACAGATCCGATCTAGATTTTTTTTCAGATAATGCCTTCATCTTGTGTTTCAAAAACTATCAGCTAACATTTGAAAACTTTGATTTCTTTTGCAGGACATTAAAAGGGATTTGCAGAAACACACATTTAGATTAAGCTGAATTATATAAGAACTGTTGTTTTGGTATCAGTACCGACACTCAGCAGCCATACTATAGAATATATTAAAAAGCTTCACATGGTATCTAGCCTCACTGTCACATCTATCAGTGATGTGCTCGTCCAGCATGCCAGCTGCATGCCAATTCATCATTTCTGGGGATTGATAGCTAAAACTTCATTATTATCATATTCTAATATTCCTAACTACACTCTCAATGTGTTCTTGCACAGTAATGCACACATGCTCTATTTGATTTCTCTGAGCTCTGGAATTCTATGTTCTGAAATATTTGTGCAGAAAGAGGTCCAAAGAATGATTTTTGATTGACTACCCATATCAGGCCTACAGCAGCGCCTCCCTTTCTCAATGTTTGATGTTTCTGGCCTTCACTGTGTGTGAGCGCAGGGATCTAATCAAAGGCATCTTATCTGTAACATAATCTGAAAACATTTCCAGTGTCACAAAGTGTGAACATACAGTGTAAACTGATAAGGTAGTTGCAGGTGTCACAGCAGCTCCTCCATCAATCGCTACAGTTAGTCCTGACAGCTCTGGAGTTCTGTGGTACACATAAATGGCCTTTTAGCCTAATGAGTTATAAGATGTGAGGTCCAGGTTTTCTCTTGAAAGCCGGATGTCTACTGACACGAGACAACAGGTTTTGTGCACTCTTGTATGCAGGCATTTAGCCCTCAGCACATCATGATTGTCTGATCAGTTGTTGTTTCTTACTATTATTAATCATTGTCAACGTACACATTGACAGATTAATAAACAGAAAGAAATTATGACTCTTTTTAAGAATGTTTACCTAGAAAGCCCTACATTTGAGGCAGTTTCCTGAGCGAGTGCACTTCTGTTTTTATGAGCATACAGCTGTCTAAAACCTCTCCTCCTGTTTTGTAATAAAACCAAACGGCAATGCATTGAATTGTTAAACTGTCTTGGTGATTTGACACAGGGTCCCAGAGACTTTCCAAGTGGCTGCTTCAAAATGGAAATTAATTCCAGTAATACACAGAACAGAGCAAATATCTGTGGTTGAAAGTCTTTCCGCCAGTAAACATCTTACCTTCCCTTATGGCTGTGAAGGGCGTTCCTTCCTCCTCCTGCAAACGAATTACCTTCAGAGCCACGAGTTTCCCATTCACCCTGGCAACAACATGAAGGACAACACACATATGGTAATCTGGTGGGTTTTTGTGACATTAAAAAAATCTATTAAAATCAGTGAAGCTGGAGAGCAGCGAGGATAGCTAAGTCAATGAAATGTAATTTAGCAGCAGTGGAGTGAGACCCGGGTACAAGGCCACAGGATTACAAGTGAATATGGCTCACCAATCAAAGCTGTTGTAGACAAGAGCGATGCAAAATAACATCATTACTGAGAAGATTAGAGTTTATGGAGTTTTGTACATTTACAGTGTTTGAACTTTCATTTTCTGGAATTTAATTAGCAAATCCTGCAGGGAAAGTACGAAAGCATAAAGCGTAAAATATGACAATTGAATCAATGAATAAAAACATCCATTCTATAGTGATTAAAATAAAGGAAACTATATTGCATGTGTGGGGTTCGCAGCTCTACACAAAAGAGAAAAATTGTTGACATTAAAACTATGCTCCGTAACTGTTATTGCTTTTCCATTTGATTATTTCATTTAGTTACAGCACTGCTCCTGTTTAATTAAATGTAATATTCACCGCATTCACGAGTGGCTCTTATTACCTATAAAACAGAGTGACTGGATTAAGCAAAGATTCAATGTGCACAAGCTACTTACTTGCTCTTTCCTTTGTAAACTGTAGCATATGAACCTTCTCCCAGCTTCTCCAGCTTTTCATAGGAATCTGCCTTTCCAAATTTGGGGCTTGTGGGCTGAGGAAAAAGAAGAGATATGAAAAGGTAATATGAAAGGACGATTCAGTAACCCAGAAAAGGAAAGTCTCAGAGGATTTCTCACAACACATTACAAGTCTATGAGAGAAATTAAAATCTGGAGGCTCCCCACTGCATCACTGGGGAGGTGTAATGCCGCTGAACAGGAAGCGAAAGAATTTTAGAAAATCTTCTTTTTATTTAATTGTCAGCTCATAACTTTTAGACACTTCATTGTCTCAGTACTTCAGAGACAAATAGGTAATGACTGCAACTTTGAAGGAGTGTGTTCATAGCCAGCTGGTAAGAACAAGCTCAACTTTGAAACTTTAACTTACTGAACGCTATACGAAAAGTTGCTACTGCAAGCTACAAAAACAACTTAGCAGCAGAAAAACTGAACTGACAATACAACTTCTGAATGTTAGATTCTTGAATGTAGCCACATTTTGCTTTAATACCAGCTTTGCTCACTCTTCACCCTCCAACCAGCTTTCATGAGGTCATCACCTGGAGCTTTTCCAACAGTCTTTAAGGCGTTGCCACAAATGCTGAGCACTTCTTGATCGCTTTTCGCTTTCTCTGCATTACAACTCATTCTAAACCATCTCAGTTGGCTTAACTCTGTGAATGTCGAGGCAAGGTTATCTGATGCAGCACTCCATCAATCTGCTTCTTGGTCAAACAGCCCTTCGAACGCCTGGAAGTGTGTTTTCACTAATTGTTCCTGACAAATGATGGTCCACTTAATGGCAGAGTGATGTTGCAGTACGTTTGCAGCCACTTTATCATAGTTTTTTTTTTTCCATAGTTTTTGTTCCTATACTTAAAGAAATTTTCAAGAAAGTTCTTCAAACTTCCCAGACTGACCAACATTCACATCCTAAGCTAACGATGGACTGTTGTTGGACTTTACTTAGCTGACCAATTATTGCCATCATTTGGATTACTCCTGTGGCTGAATACAGCTGTTTGCTTTCGAAGCTACCTCAGCACAAAATGATTGATGATCTCATTCAGGAAGGTAAGAAATTCCATCAGGCAACTTTTGACAAGACTTATCTGATTCCTCGAAACCATTAAAGGGGATGAACTCATCAAGCTGGTTATAATATTTGCAACAGTGTGCCCAGCTGTCATGAAACAAATAGTGGCTGATTTGAACAATCTAAAATGTGAAATATTTTATTCTGTTTATCACTTGGATTAAATAAACTATAAATGCCATGATTTGAAGAAGCAGTGTCGGCAGATTGTTAACAGTCCTCCACTTTGAATTCAGTCACAATTACTGAGAAATGTAATAAAAGTCCAAAATGTTCACGGCACACAATCTACTTTTGGATGCTACCAACTGGTATTAACCTTAATTTTGCTACTGTGGTTGACCAGGAAGCAGAAAACACTTGGTAGAGTTTTGGTCCCATGTTTGAAGCTGTGTTGGATATGAATACTGACGGTGCATCATCATAAACTGTTTACCACCATTTACTGCATGGTGAGCTGAATGATGACTATTGTGTTGTCGTGGTTGAGACGAGTCAATGTGTCTGTTTGACAAATCTCGAGCGCCTGCTTGAACAATCACAGGTAACATAGGTATATATGCGAGTGCCTATAACCTCCTACAGCACATACAGACCAGTAGGATTGATTTACTATGAGCTCCTGAAGGGTGTTGAAATTTAACTCCCAGAACTTTTCTCCACAGCACGTAGAGGACAGGAAACAAAAGCAAAACCTGCTCCAACATTTACGAGTTCAGTTCCAGGTTGGTAAGCTCTCACTGCACAAAGGGCTTATGTATCTCATCACCAGGAAAGTCCAGTATCTGCAAGCGAGTCTCATCTTTTCTTTCTGCATTGAACAATAAAGATCAACAGGAAAAATGAAGTGACTTTTTTTTGAGAACACTTTATTTGTCACCTAAACTCACTGTGGACTGAATGCCTGCAGTCAAGCACAGGGAAAAAGTTTTAGTGTTTCTGTCATCATGAGCATAACAACACCGGAATGCACAATGGTACCAACGTGCATTGTCAATTTATCTTCAAGCAAATTCCCTGCTCTCATGTGTTTACAGAAGGCCCAAGACAACCTTCAGGAAATGTCTAAACCTCCGTACAGTGTTTACTGCGTCTTCACTGTCCTCCCTGCTTTACTTCCCCCCCCCTGTTATCTTTCTATCCTCTGCAGCACTAAGAAGCTCAGCATTTCTAAGCGCTTCTCTAAACAAATTAGACTTCCTCCTGGGATCAAGCAGGAAGTGAAACTCTATCTGTGAAACAACTCAGTTGGACAGTAAGATATTCTCCTCCTGGTGGCTCAAGGAACCTCACAGAGAGACTTGTGACAACAAAGGGATTTCGTTCTCATGTATTTTTCATCCACAAAAAAAGAGTAATTGTTTTGCTGTCATGTGTGCTGTGTATCAACCATTTTATCCCCCACCTGCCACTAAACCCCACCCTCTTTTTATGACTGAATCCTTTTTACCTTATAACTGCACACCCTTACTTGAGATAAACTGAGGGATTGCCAGTCCAATTTGAATAACTACAGGGAAAGCTCAGTGGAACCAAAAATACACCAGAGATGGATTATCAGACCGGCAAAGCAGGAAACCACCTCCAGAACCCCAGGGGCCCTCAGAGCCCAGGTTCACACCATAGCCTCTGGGTTAGTTACTAGAAATGTGCACAGCTGAATTCTATGTAATGTATCCTTCTTTCTCTAAATGTTGGCCCACTACACAGAAAACTTGGGCATGGTTGTATATTCCATCACAGAATAACTGTCAGGTTGCAAACAGCAACTATTGTCATCATCCATGCATGGGACAATGACTTTCATTGTTTAGCATGTAAAATGCCCGTAAAACATGCTTATCGCTGTCCCCTGAAGCTATTTTAATGGCTTTGGTTGTCACTCAGCAGCACAGAGATGTTGAGTTGACCATCATAGACATCTAGAAACTAGTAAATATACACGATGCATCAGTGACCAATACTGCTGTTTGCTGTTGGTCAGATTCTGTGTGCCTGGAGAAACAATGAAACTGTAGCGCAATATGAAAATGAATATCATCAATATCAATAACATGTTTGCTTCAGGAACATGACAATACCTACACTTTTTTCATGCTTTGGTTGCTTCTGATAGTGTCATTATATTGAACAATTTCAGTGAGGATTGAATTGAAGACATCAAACAAAAGATCCAGCAGTAAAATGTTTCACATATACACTTCATTTATTAAAAAGCCCCCGAAAGACAAAGTCTTTACGTTCACTCCCATTTTAATGTAGAAAACTTTAGAAAACTTTGAGAGTTTGTGAAATAAAAGTAAAAGTAGAAGGACGACCCCAGCTAACTACGTATCCAACAACTCAACTTACAAATGACTGCTGCTTTGGAAGCTAATGGTTTGGTTTTACCGCAAGCATCAAAAGAAGTGGAAGAAATCAGGGTGCAGTGTACGGTCTGAGAGCATGTGCAGAGTTCTTTCTAGGACGGAATTAGATTTTCCCACTTAGTATAAAAGGTGAGTGCAGTGTTCAAAAGTGTTTTGCTTCCGAATGCGAGGTAAATGCCTGATAAAGATTTCAAAATCTTTATTGAGATTGAAGTTGGCTGGTTTGTGTGAGCAAAAAAAACTACTAACAGAACAATTTACACATTTTCATAATCATGGCTGAAACAATTCATTAGTGTCTCGCAGTGATGCTGGCAGGCAATCAGTCAAGCCTCATATCACACTTATTAAATCGCATTTGTGTGCACATTCATTAGGCCTTTCACATTTGGGGCTAAATTAAAAAAGGAACCACATATGTACAAAAACCCAGAAATCTCATTTACATGATTAAGAAAATCATGTTGTTTGTAAACAGCCTTCAATTAGGCATGTGAAGGGATACAGCCTGGCAAATCTGTTTTCAGATAAACAAAAGGAAAAGAGCTCGACTGCAAAAACAAAACACCTGAGAAACACTGAAGAAAAGTCATACCATTTCTTTGACATCATTTTTTAAAGTCATCACCCAGATTTTCTATTAATGTCACAACAACAAACATTTAAAGACCCCCAAATGTTTAAATCAGGTTTTTAAACCAAACTAGCAAGCTCATAGAGTGTTTTTTTTATATACTACAACAAGCACTGTGAGCAAAATGAGCAGTCAACGCCATGGCTGATCATTTCCACCATGAAACTCTGCACAAAAAGACGATTCAAAAAGTCATTTTAATACGTAACAAACCGAAAAAACCTGGCTGAACTACTCCCATACTTCAGCTTGCCATTGTGTAGTGCAGAATGGTTTTACGCTGCCTGAGCAGAGGTGTGCTTGAGTTGCAGTGAGTGGTAGAATGGTGGGATGGGGAGGGGTAGATACTGACAGAGATCTGCATGTCTAGGGAAAGCAACAATCTAATCACATTCTATTCACGCATGGGGGTATAAATAGAACTACAAAAAATCGGAAAAAAAAAAAAACATTTAATGTGTGATTTTGATGCACAGTGAATTCAAACTTGAAAGAGGACTTGGTTCTAATTCCCACTGCAAAGTGAGTGCTCCTCTTCTAAAAATGTTCTGTTGTATTACTAACTTCTACAGCATCATCCCACTATCCAGCTATCACATTTCAGATAAAACAAATTTACATAGTTGATAAAAAAAATGTGCATTATATTTCCTAGATTGTCTTCTAATGCTCCTGTAACGTGACAATGAGGTGCAGTAAAACTGTATTCCACTCCTCATCCTGTCCATGAGGAGCACGCCTCGTGCACACTGACCGTGCCGCAGTTGCTTCAGACTGGTTTAATCTGATTGAGTTTTTCCTCCCAGGTTAGCCGTCTTAACCAGCTTGACTGGTGGAGAGTGATGGTGGTCTGACAGGCAGAGGAATCTCTCTCTGTTGTGCAAACACCTGGAGAAATGTTCCATTGAGTTGCAGCAGGTGATCAATCATTAATTTTTTCGACAATTGTAATGGAGTTTCAAACGTTGGACAAAAATAAAAAGGGACTAATTATGAGCAAAAGAAAAACCTCTACCCCATCCTATCTCAGAATTACAAGCTGTGTTTCCATGGCAACACTGGCACAACTGTTGACTGCTTTCTCACCCACTGTTTATCAAACAGAGGCGCCTGCTCACCAAACACTGTATCACCAGCACCATTGCTGATGGTGACTTTTCATGTGGTGTTCCTTCTGCTTAATGATTCTTGTCTGTTTGCCTGAACTATTGTCACTACAGTCAGGTTGCCAGGTTTGGTGCCACTGTAGCTGCAAAGTGATCTATACCTAAACCTCAGCTCACTGATTACATTGTATGTGACAACCGGCTATTTAGATGCATGCATAGGGAATAAATAAGTCCCTCCAACACCATAAATTACTGCTTTCTGTTTGTGTATGGACTAAAAAAACAAGAGACACATATTAATCAGTGAGCTCTGGGGCCAGTTTTAAACCACTGAGGGAGTCAAGACAAGCTCTTTCTCCATGCTTCCAGTCGAAGCCAGGCTACCTGTCTTATCAACTCAATCACAGAAAAAAAGCGTTTATCTCATAATTAGGTAAAAGTTATCATTATGTGGTATTTCTGCTGCACAACGTCTACACTCATGTTCCTGAATGCAAAGTACCTCAAGTTAGTGGCAGCAGAAAAGAGTAACACTATAGCAGGCCCCAAGAGTTAGGCCTCCTGAAGGCAGTAGGATTTGACTGCAATGTCCAAGGTTGGTGGTATACTGTCTGTCCAGGAGTACATAACGGTCCACGTGATGAAAATGTCATTATGCCACAATGTTTATAAGAGTTCACTTGAGCCTCTCCGCATACATTTGCATGAACTCCAAAATGTGCATCCATGTGGACAGTCCATATGACAACTATTCCACAAAGGCAATAGTGTGTCTCTCGGTTACAACCTACAGTGCATGTATGTGACAGAGTTTTTCAATTGAACTACTAAAATTAGTAGAACAACAGGTCCATGAGTGTCAGAAGCTGGTGCGCTTCCACACCACAGTATAGCCAAGTCTGAGCTGATAAACCCTTGTCGAAAATGTATGCAATCACCAGCCAATCAAAGGCAAAACGTTTTGGGCCCCAAATTTGTCCTCATTCTCTCCGTAATGAAACCAGGGTAAAAATTCTTGCTACTGACTGACACATGGTTATAAAGAGGACACACATATGGACCCTTTTTTTTAAATGAATGCACATCTTCTTATACTGACCGTTCAAACCCTCTGGCTGCTTGACAAGACTGTGCACATTTGCATTGGCTGCAATGAGTTCACGTTAAGCTCCCACAAGTACATCTGCTCCTCTTTGCTGTTTATTTCACATAGTACTGGGACTGGTTTAAGATTTTTAAAAATCTTTTTAGGAGAGGGGAAGACACATGCAGCACATCCTGCAATAAGACTGAACTCCATCCATGACCACTGCATTGGGGACTCTCAGCCTCTATTCATGGGCTGCCTGCTCAACCAGTTGAGCAAGTTCATGATCATACTCTGGAAACATGTATTTATTTATTTTTAGTTCAACTTTTTTCAGTTTCTTTTTATTCTGTTTTGTTGTCTCGTGCTTTATTGCCAGCGTTTCCTTTTTCAGTGTGATCTAAGGCACCCAAAGGACATTTTGGGTTCAAACCTGTAACTACCATAGTTAGTCATTTTGAAGAAGCACATTTTCCTAAACTAAAAGAGGTTTTTTGTCATATTAACAGTGGAACAGAAAAGGTTTGTTATGTAGACACAATTATCTCCTCTTTGAAAAAGAAGGATCACTTCTTCTATCAAAACAGCCTTAAGAAGTCCAAATTAGTGTGGCTGTGTGCACTCTGCTCCTTGGGATCTCTAATAGCCTGATTTATGAAACTGGAGGATGAAACAATGGATAACAAGAAAAATAAGAAATTAAACTTTACTTGCAAAGCAGTAATATGAATCAAACAAATCCATTTATCTCATTGTAGTGGACTAGTTCAGTAGCTTCACAGTCATTCCTAGTAGTCGATGTAATTATTCAGCAACCATTAAGCTCTACCTAAGCACTAGTATGTGTGACGAAACCCATTTTAATTTTGTAATGTCCAGTGAACAAACTTTTGTTATAACTAAGTTTCAACTCAGGGAGAGCTTGTGCAACCAAGACCTGACTCCTCTACTGTGTGGTGTGTCTATGGTGTTGGTAATGTGTACTTACAGAACTAGGGCTGGAGTGCCGGCGCAGTTTGGGCGACTCTTTGCCGGCAGATGAGCTCTTGGCATTGATGCAGGCATTGTTCTCAGAGTGGACTCTCTTCACCTGGCTGGCGGGCTTCTCGAACGGGTCGAAGCCACTCTGCGTGCGCTGAACTCTCACCTTCTTGTCCTCAGGGATGGTGTCCAGGGGCTTGATGACCGAGTCTGTTCCCTGGCAGCTGCGTGTGGACATCTTTGTGACACATATCTGTCAAGAAGGGAAGAGGAAGAGAAGGGAAGAAAGGAGGGCAAAGATAAAAGTGAGCATTAAAGGCAAAAAAAATCCATCTGCGATTACCAGTGTTCAGCCAAAAACTGACTATGTGCCCGTCTTCCAGATCCCGCCTGTTTTTCATCTCTCTGTCAGCCTGGGTTTCTTCCCTCCCTGTAGAGCCTTGCTACTACCTCTCTGCTAGGATGAGAGCCTTTTTATCTCCATCTCTCTTTTCTCTGATCAAAACAGCTCCAGCCTCTGTCAGCTCTGCTGCACACACATAACCGGCTGCTGCTGCTGCACCCATACTGCACATTCACACCGTTCCACCTTATCTCTGACACACATCTACACATCCATACAATTGTGCAGACACGCTGCAGATTGTCTACAACAAGTCCATCGGGCACACTCACAGCTCTCCACACTTCCATCTCTTTCCAAAACAAAGCACCTTACCAGCTGCTCCTCCACCGTCGACTGTGCATTTTCGACACAAAAGACCCAGGTGGCATGACATGTTTTGCCACGGCTCCCTTCAGATTAAATATTTAGACCCGGGCTCCCCTGCCGGAAGAACTTCTAATTACTCTAATACACAAGGAGGAGTCATCTTGCAGCTCACTGACTTGCTTTTTAACATGGGCCAGGTTTCATTGGACACAATGCAATATTTCTCACTACACAAGTTCCCTCCTCTGTCACGCTAATGTGGTAATTTATTCGAAATGAATAAATAAATAAATTAAAAGAACCAACCATTGATTGTGAGGCTGATTAAAATTACAGTGATGGTGATTGGTGTTAATTCTTATTGTGTCAGGCATACAAACATAGCCAGCCAGCCGGGCTTATTTGGCACCACAGATTACTACAAACACATTTCAAACTACAACATAGTGTGGAACAATTCAACAAATACCTAATTTATATTTTTCTGAAAAAAATCACAATTGCATTACTTTTAATGAATTAAACTGGATGTGTGTGATAGAGTGGATGTAAGGGATTCTGCTCTGCTCCCCTCCTAGCATTAGCTGATTTAAACTTCCCTGTTCATGCAAATATCACATTTCTGTCTTTACCTGCAGTTTAACCAGACACACTAATCTCAAACTGCACTGACAGCGCCCAGTTGCACTGTCAAGTTATGTAAAGTTAGCTACACCTTCTGAGCAACCAGTGTTTTACTTTTTTTAGAAAGTAGTTTTCTGTAGGGATGAATGATCAAAATAACCTCACAATGTAAGATATGATATTAGTGGTTTTATATAAAAGTCAACAATCAAATTATATAACTGTATATAATTGTGGCATTATCTTCATGAGTTACAACATGTACAGCTTCTTACCAGTGGTGATACTGACAACCTATGATATCTGTCAGGCATCCACAGTTACGCTGCTGTCATTTTGCATGTTCTCATTACCTTCACACTGACTGGAGGTACCTCAAAACCTCAAATCTTGGTGGTCTCAACTTGATGCTTCGAAGAGGATTCGATTACACCAAGACAGTCCTTAAAGGTTTGAAAGTGTGCGATCCAATAGTTGTGTTTATTACCTGCTGCCATTATATTCTGCAACTATCACATCGCCTCGTATTCATTGTAAAAAACTGATAGCTAAGTTAATTTATCAGTCATTTGTTGAGTAATCACCTTAATTTTGAATTTGACATGTTGTTAAAACACAGTTAATTATCTCAGGTTTAGATAAAAATCAGTCTGTGGGATTTTAAATTACCCTTATCTGCAAAATGCAACTTTGAAATAAAATAATCTATAACTCAGCCCTTCAGCACATACATTTTTCAGAAAAAACAAACAAACAAACAAAATTTAAATAAAAATAACCACGTCAGGAAGTTGTTCAACATCAGTCACGTTGCACATGTGCCAATTTGATTCGGTCACCAACTGAATGTTGCACCAGATATTAATCCCACTATTTCAGCCATTTATCCATAACTTTGACCAGTACAGTTACTCTGTTTATGGACCATTTCTCCAATATTTACCTGTCAGCCATTTGTCAATTACTTCTCAATAGCAGTAACTATTTCAACAACTTATCAATCACTTTCACGAACCTTTTAATCCATTACTTGCAGCTTAGTACTCTTAGGTATCTATTTTAATCACTTATCTGTTACTTTTAGGTAATTTTCACGACTGCTTTAACTAAGTGTTTGGGTTTTGGGTTTTTTTTTGAAAGACAATGGTAATTTGTGACTTAGACTGCATGATGTAATGCTTTCATTTTAATTCATCTGCACAATGGAACATTTCAAGCAAGAAATAAAATGGAATAATTCCAACAAAAGCAGTAACATAACAACACATTTAGGCAAAAAAGAATATAAAATGGGCCAAGAAATACACATGAGAAAGATGCAGGTAAAATATAAAGAAATGAGCTGTTCGGAAGCACATATGGTAATGAGGCAGCCAGGCTGTCACAAACATGAGTCCCATGCTTATCCAGGGTGTCCTCGGTGACAGCAGTTGTCATCTGGAACAGCACGTAAACTAACAAAAACAAATACCATCATTTAGGCCCTATCACACTACAAGGCATCAAAACTTAATGAGAGCATCTGGGAATGATGTGTTCAACAACAAATATGTTCCAAGATCTACACGTGACAGAATCATGTGATGCTAAGAAATGTGACATGACGGTAAGAAAGTCCTCAAAAACTGGAGGTAATCAAGACTGATTAAAAATGGACAACTTATGTCTTTACTTCTAGTATAAAGAGCAACATCCTGCATGATGGTATTGGCTCACTTACCACACTTTAAAAATTAACCAATGACAATGCTTGAGCCTGGTATATTTTGTTTCAAGCAACCACACAAGAGCTGCAAGCACTTTCAGTCACCTGTTGACGAGGAATGTGACTAGTTTCTGGGAGGGACAGCAACTATTATTTGGATCTAATTGTGCTTAGCTGAGTTTTTTAATGTTATTTTACGTTGTACCCCTGCTGTACACCGCACTGTATTTCTTCAGCAACTACTACTCATCAACCATATTAAAATGCTGCTATGAGAATGCTGTCTGTTACTTTCAGTGTCAATCAATCAGTCCGTTATTTTCTTTGGTAACCAATTTTGACTATAAAAGCTGAGAAAATATGGTAAAATAATTCTGCCTTTTGATGTCTTCTTTTCTTGAACCAATAGTCAGTCTGCCAGACCCTAAGATATCTATGTGACTGCTACGTATACAACAAAGATCACACACGTCACATTTGATAAAAGTGCAAAACAGGTAATGTTCAGCACTTTTGCTTTTTAAAAAGTGTTTAAAATTATCATTCAATGGCTGCAGACTAACCTTGTGTCAACCGACTAATCAGTTATTTCAATAAAAGTTAGAGTTTTATTTTGTGCAACTGATAATCATTCATTTGTTTTTTAAGAAAGATCTTGTACTATTATGAGAGGTTTACCACTTTCACTTATGTAAAGGATCTGAGTCCTTCCTTCACCATGGGACAGAACATGATCAAGTACATTTCACGTAAATGATCTAAGTTGGCCTGATGGAGTGCTCTAAGTGTGTGTTGGGTTTCCTAGAAAGTGCAAAAGTATCCTGAGGTGTGTTCATAGCTAAACTGCAACTCTACACCTGTAGCTCGCAAAATCAGATCCTATCCTCCAGCTGCTTCTTTCGGTGAATGATAGTCGTATCTACCTAAAGTGGAAAAGGATCATATACATGAGGCATGCAAAGGTTTGGGCACCCCTGGTCAAAATTTCTGTTTATGTGAACAATTAAGCAAGTAGAAGACGAAAAGATCTCCAAAAGGCACAAAGTTAAACATGAAACACTCTTTTCAATATTTAAAGCAATATCAGTGTATTAATTTTGTTTTGTACAATTTTTGAGTGAAAAAATGAAAGCAGCACCCTGCAAAAGAATGGGAACCCCAGGAGACCCTAGCTCTCAGTTAACTTTGACAAACGTTTCAGACCTTAATTCGCCTGACAGGTCATGGCTTGTTCACAATCATCGTTAGGAAGGACCAGATGATGCATGTTTCAAAGCTTTATAAATACCCGGACTCCTCTAATCTTGTCCCAACAATCAGCAGCCATGGCTTCCTCTAAGCAGTTGCCTAGAGCACTGAAACTGAAAATGATTGACGTTCACAAAGCAGGAGACGACTATAAATATCCAAGATGGCGCTGGTGAGGTCGGCTGCTGTCATACCTGCTCCAACCTTCTATTTGTATATAGCAATTTTACTTTTTATTTTTAATTTCTTAAGCTGTGTCGTATCACATACGACAAGCAGACACTCATAAACAAAGGAATACAGCACTCAAAACTGTGTTCCTTCGAACTTTTCTCCTGACCCGGCTTGGCCCCAGGACATTGTGCGGGGGGCCGACAACAACAATGGAGGACGCGCAGGCTCCAGGTCACGGAAAAGGCCCCGAGGGAAACGAGCTGGCGTTAGGAACAGGCTGAGGCGCAAAGCACACCAAACGCCACTGCCAAGTATCCTACTAGCCAACGTCCAGTCTCTGGAGAACAAGCTGGATGAACTCCGGGCCAGGATTAAGCAACAGAGGGACATACGGGACTGTAATATCATCTGTCTCACCAAGACATGGGTGACCCCCATGATGCCGGACCATGCCATTCAACCAGCGGAGTTCTTCACAGTTCATCACACGGACAGTGAGTCTGGCAAAACAAGGGCGTTGGAGTGTGTCTTCTGGTGAACAGCAAGTGGTGTGATAAGGACAACATCGTTCCTCTGAAACACTCTTGTTCCCCCAATCTGGAGATCCTGGCCATCAAATGTTGCCCCTTCTACCTTCCCCACGAGTTTTCTTCAGTCATCCCCAGTGCCGTTTCTATTCTACCTCAAGCGGACACGGACGCTGCACTAACTGAGTTTCATGAGGCTATCACCAGCTACCAGGCGAACTTTAATAGTGCAAACCTGAGGACAGTGATGCCGGAGTGT